TTTTTTTTTCTTAACATATATTGCATTATTTGTTTCAGAGGTACAGATCTGAGATTCAACAGTCTTGCACAATTCACAGGGGCTAGCTCTTCTTACCAGCAATTAAGAACCAGGATTTTTATGAAAAGGTTGCTATCTCCCCAGAGTGAACCACTCCTCACTTGAAGTTCACCAGCTCTCTCTCATGGAACTTTGTGCAAATCCAACCAACAGCTCTAGAATTTGAATCTTTCCAACCAAAAGGCCAGTCCCAACCAGTTACCATGGTTACCTGGGTTCTCTGCAGAGCAGTGCTGGGGTATCCACTGTTTCCATTTCCTGTGTGTTTCTCATGCATGGGAGAGAAATAAGATCTTTTGTGTGAATTGCCCTTTTCTTTGATCTTTACTGTCTTGTAAGATGATTGGGGATATTTCACAACTATGAAATTCGATACTTTTTAAAGCCATCATTAGACACCATGTCCGGATTCGACCGTTTCCTTTATGACAGGTGTTACCACACCCTAATGTTGGCTTACTGATCTGGAAATGGATTCTTTGAATGCAAGCCTCCTTTGTGTATGTTGGTACGGCTCATTTGGGCCATTAATTATCCAACTGGTATTCATTTGCGAGTGGGAAAATTCCATGGCAGTGAATGAGAGTGCAGGAGGATAAGACAGGACACAGGATGCACCCCGACTACTCCTCTAGGTCTTTTATCCAACTGCAGGAATGAGTAACTTTCCTGTTGGCGGGACCTTTTCTTTTCCATATTACACAAGCTACCAGCACACTGACCCATGGTTAAGGGCCAAAAGGCCTCACATGCACCCATCTACACCTACCAAGAAATACACCTTCAGACCCACTTGTCGGGAGTCTGGACTTTCCACCATCCCAAAGCGATGCCTTTGGGCTAAAAATGATTTCTTTTAAAAGTGCATCCACGTCTCGGTGTGGCAATGCATTAAACAGCTATGTTTTGTACTTTATCAGACACTCTCTTTTTTTCTGTATATAGTAAACCTTATGCTTTTCTTATTATCTTAAAAATGTTCATTTTAGGAAATAGGAAAAATATAAACTTCACCAGAAAAATCACCTGTAATCCTACAATCCAGAGATAAGCACTACAAAAAAACTTTGCTTCCCAGTCTTTTATCTTTGCATATAAATGTGATTTTTAGTACACATTGGCTCATATTTTATAATATGCCTCATTTTAATATTTCAAAGCCATTTCTCAATGCCACTTATACTCTTTAAAAATTTCCCCTTGGTTAGTTACTTTAATGCATACAAATAATTAGGGAATTTGAAATAAAACAAAACCCAAATATCCCTGTGCCTACTTTCCAGCTAATAGAACTTTACTGGAGCTCTTGAACCCCTCACCCACCCTATCTCATCTTCCTCCCTCATCTACGCCCTCCCAACCCCTTCTGCCCCCAGGAAACCATTCTTGCATTGCATTTATCATTGTTTTGCTTTCAATTTTTAAAAATGTATTATTTAAGTAATCTCTACACCCAACATGGGGCTCGAACTCACAACCCCAAGATTAAGAGCCGCCTGCTCTTCCAACTGAGCCATCCAGGCGCCCCTCCTTTGCTTTTAATTTTGTTGTTGTTGGAAGTTTTTTGCTTTCTGGTTTTCCCATAGGAATAGGAATATATATATACACCTAAACAATATATTGTGCACATTTTTTAATTCTGTAGAAATGTTACCATTATTTCTAAACTCTGTAGAAATGGAATATCTATTCCTCTGTGACTTGCTTTTTCCCCTAGCATCGTTAGCGAGAGGCTAACCTTATTGATATTTTTGGCTTTACTTTGTTCACTTTCATGACTACATAGTAGTCCGTTATATGAATATACTACAATTTGGCCATTTTCCTGTTGATGGGCATGGGGTTCTCTACTGTTTTCTGCAGACAGGGCAGCATAAATGTTCTTGCAAATGTGTCCTGGTGCACATGGGAAGAGTTCTCTGGGATATTTATCTAGGGGTGGAATTGCTGAGCTAGAGATTAGTGCACCTTCCACCATGCTAAATAATGACCGTTTACTGTCTTACTAGGAATGTATACGGTTGTACATCCTTGCCAGCACTTACATTGATTGGCTTTTCTTTTCTTTTCTTTTTTTTTTTTTAAAGATTTTATTTATTTATTTGACAGCAAGAGAGGGAACACAAGCAGGGGGAGTGGGAGAGGGAGAAGCAGGCTCCCCACAGAGCAGGGAGCCCGATGTGGGACTCGATCCCAGGACCCTGGGATCATGACCTGAGCTGAAGGCAGACGCTTAACCGACTGAGCCACCCAGGCGCCCTACATTGATTGGCTTTTCAAAATGTTGCCTCTCTGATGGGAATAAAATGATAGTGTGGCTTTGATTTACATTTAATTTCATTGACTGTTAATGAGGCTAAGCATTTTATGTGCTCTTTTAAATGCCAAATGACCATTTGTGTTTCCTCTTCTGTAAAACACTTGTTTATATCTTGTGCCCATTTTTCCTTTAGAATATTTCTCTTTTACTTCAGGAGTCCCTTATACATTCTGGCCACTGATCTAATCCCTTAACAGTTATGTGTTGGGAATATCTTTTCCCAATTTGTAGTTTGTCTTTCCTCTTTCTTGATATCTTTTAATGAAAATAAATTCTTAATTTTAGGGGTGCCTAGGTGGCTCAGTCGTTGAGCGTCTGCCTTCGGCTTGGGTCATGATCCCAGGGTGCTGGGATCCAGCCCCGCATCGGGCTCCCTGCTCCGCGGGAAGCCTGCTTCTCCCTCTCCCACTCCCCCTGCTTGTGTTCCTGCTCTCGCTATGTCTCTCTCTGTCAAATAAATAAATATTTTTTAAAAATAAATTCTTAATATTAATGAAGTCACATGTATCTTCTTTATGGATTGTGATTTGTATCTTCTTTTCTTGATGAAGAAGTCCTTTTGTAACCTAGGGTCATTATGAGATGCTTCCTATTTTCTTCTAAAATCTCTATAGTTTTACTCTGCACACTTAGGACTTAATGTGAAATGGGTTTTGGACTTAAATGTGAAGTGAGGTTTAATATGCGGTGTGAGGTATGCTTGATGAACTCCCAACTATCGCAAGATCTTTCCCTGCTAAACTGAAGAGCCATGTCTGTCATATAACATAACTATAAATGTCTGAGTCTGTTTCAGAGCTGTCTATTCTGGCCTGGTTTTTTTTCCTAATCCAATACCACAGCATCTTAATGTCTGTAGCTTTTATAAGTTTCAGTAGCCGATGGCACAAAGCCTCCTTCCCCATTTTGTTCCTTAAGAGTCCTTGACTATATACATTTCAGAATCAGCTTGTTGGGATTTTCATTGAAACTGCATTGCATCTATAAATTATTTCTGGGGAGAACTGACATCTTGGAGATATTGAGTCTTTGAAAAATATGGTATATCTCTTCTTTTGTTTGTGCCCATCATGGAACACTATAATTCTCTTCCTTTTCATTGACTTCCCTTTCCTGGGGAGGAAGGTCTCTGAAGAAACTGAGCACATACGTCTCTCTCCAGAGCAATGCCCTTTCTTCCTTTTCTTTGATTTTAGTCTCTAGCCGGTTTCCTTTCCTTGCCCAGACAGTCCCCAGTCCATGAGGATCCTAAAGAATAGGTCTTAGGCTTCTTAGAGCCTCCCTACATGAACATCAACCGGCTAGTCTTCACTCATCATTTATTAGACACAAACATATTTGCTTCCATTTTCATAATTCCATTTGCATCAGATTCCAGCAGCTTACATTCTGGAACGTTGGCATAATTTGTTGGCCAAGTGTTGTGCTATTGGTGAGTTCACGTCCAGGTTCATTGGTTCATCATCATCCCAACCAACATGTATTGAGTGAACTGTGTGTGCAAATACTTCACCAGACACCAGATGTACTTTATAGTCTGCAGAACAATTGCCCCGCCATCATGGCATCCAGTCTGCTCACGACCCTGTCAGCTACGTACTGGTGGTATTATCATCACATGGCTTTATGCATGAGGAAACAGAGACCTGAGAAGCCGAAATAACTTGTCCAGTGTCATCAAACTCACAAGTTTCAGAGGCAACCCTCAGACCCAGGCTCCCTGCCCCCAGATCCCCCACACTCACCAACACGGCATACCACTACCTTCCACAAGAGTGGGGCTCCCAGCCTTTTCCATGGTTTCCTCTAGATTTCTGGTGGCAGGGCTGGTTCTTGTGGTCGGCTCACATGTGTCAGGAACTGCCAAGGAGCTGGATACAAGGCTCCGTGCACTTACTATCAGTCACCTGGAAGAATTTTCAGTAGGGTCGGAAGGAGCCGTGGGGAAGCCCAGGCAGCCCTCCCCCTTTAACATCCTGGGAAGTGGTGTTAGTAGTTGTAGTTTGTAGAAACTGTGCAGACCCCTGGTCACCAGGGCTTGTTTTCCATTTAGTCTCCTGGAGGAGGACTCGGAGGAGGAGGAGGGAGATCTGTGTCGAATCTGTCAGATAGCCAGGGGTTCCCCAACCAACCCCCTCCTGGAGCCTTGCGGCTGTGTGGGAAGCCTGCGATTTGTTCATCAGGAGTGCCTGAAAAAGTGGCTGAAAGTGAAAATAACATCAGGTAGGTGGGGAAGGAAGAGCCGCAAGCGTGCCTCCCATATAATTAGTGAGATGCTGCAGTGTGGGACTCAGAGCCTTGAGGGCAGCTCCCTCTCCTCAGGGAGCAGTCGCCGGGAGAGCCGTGGCCCCCGAGCCCAGGGCTCTCGTTCACAGCCCCACGGACAGCAGCCAGACTAAATGCTGCCTTTAAATGATGGGAGGGACATGAATTTGTTTTTCCAAGTCCGAGAGAAGAATCCTGGAATCTGCTCTTGAATCCTACCCCGCCCAAGCCTGAGCAGAGATGCTAAGTTTCCCTCCCAGGAGGAAAGAAACTAAAATAGGTCCGTGGTTGAACCTCAGCAAACACACAGCAAGCCATGCCCGCTAATGGACACCTGGGAAAAATGGTTCTGCTTCCTTTTATCTGTGGGGGAAGGAGGGTGTCACCTAAGAAACCGAACAAAGCTGCAATTTTGCAGTAGGGGCAGGAAAAGAGCACTGATCTCATTTTCTAGAACCATATTAGATAAAGAGATCTCCATGTGCTGGCTTTGTCAGCTCTGTCTTTTGCAGATCTTATAACTGAGTGTGAAGTCCCTTCTCAACTCCCCGGGGAGGTTATAACCTAAATACAGCCACATGGGTAGGTCAGCTGGCGTTTTCTTGGCAGAGAACAGGGGATTTCTTTAAAACTTGATTTTGGGGAAAGAGGACAACTTGAATAAAAAGAACAGGGAAAAGCAATGCAAGAACTCAATGACAAATAGCCACTGTGTCCCTGAAAACCTTTTACCCCACAGCCAGGATCCTCTTTCTCTCCTCTTCCACGTTCTCCTCCTTGGTTATCCTTCTTCCAGGCGGGGGGGAGGGGGGGGACACCTAAGAGCCTCATCCTGTCCCCACAGGGTGTGGCCACGCCCCCTCGAGAGAAAGAGGAATGGACAGTGGGACCATCAGACTAACTGTCTCCTCCCTGATCCCTTTTCCCTCCTGAGCATCTTCCCAAGCAGGAGAAACCTAGGCCCACCACCCAAGCTGCTTAAACACATCTCCCCATAGTGAGCTGGCTACTCAGTCCTTCAGACAGGGAGGAAACAAGGGGATCTCGGCTGCTAGTGACTGCTATGCAATGTCTTATCTTACTACAAATTTGGACCAATTAAACATTTAGCGCAGGAAAAAATCACTCATGAAATGTGTAACAGAAGCCCGCTAAATGCTTGTAAACGCCAATTTCAGTAGAAATCGGAAGACCCAAGGGACACTCAGAAGCCTCAAGTATTACAGAACGGTGTTAAGAAAAAAAAAATCAAGCAAACAAAATGCAGACATGGGATTATTGTTTATCCTTCTCTTTTGAAGTTCTCTATTATTTACTATTTATGTCCCCTTGAGGCAAAGTAGAACTGGGCTCTAAAACTGCACAAACCCTATCTTTACCAAATAAATGCAGATAACTAATCAGTCCTCTATTTTGCTAATGCATAAAATAAACACCGGCACATCATTGGCAAAAATGCAGCCACCCAGGCGAGGGGGAAAGACGTAGAGCACAATGTTTGCTTCGACACAGCATTCACACAGATGTGAACACAGCATGGTCAGCACAGATGCAGGTCCTGCATCTTCCAGTTTTGCTTTGGGGACTAGGATAAGCGGAGCAAGAGTGCTGATCTAGCATGCACGTTTAAAACAAAAACAAAAAAAGAAAGAAAGAAGGAAAGAAAGCCACTGCCACAAAGGAAAGCTTCTCAAGTTTCTTTTCCCAGATGAAGCTCAGCTTGGTCTCAGGTCCTGCTTGTGCTTAGTCCCCATACATGGCCCCCGGCCCCCTCACTTTCTCAGGTGGGACGTCACCTGGGTGAGGGTAAAGGCAGATTTTGGAACCACAGACTGAGAATAGCTTCTGCCATCAGTTTGGTCCCCATCTACTCATTTGCTTGGACCTATGTTTGGTCTGTCAGAAAAACAACAGTAACAACAACAACAACACCAGCCAATATTCACTCTTTTTGGCAAACACCTGTGTTACAGACTCTCAGCTTCTATGCAGCAATTCCAATTTTATGAACCAGTACATTTATATTTAAACAGAAAGCAAGACCTGTTATTTAAAAGTCACGGGAATTTCACTTATATGAAGCTTGCATAATAATGGAAACGATTATGAAGGAAATTTTCCAGCTCTCAAATTCAAGGCCCTTTTCTACAGAAGATGGCTGACTTTAAAAAAAAAAAAAGGGTCACCGAAACTCAGAATTCATAATACACACGAGTTCACTCCCAAAATGTCAACACGAAGGGATACAGAGTGTCAACACATAAAGACCCAGGGTTATTTGTAACAAAGAATTCTTTAATTTAAGGAGCGGATCTAGGCGCTGTGAAGACCTGTGAGATGTGTAAGCAAGGCCTTCTGGTCGATCTGGATGATTTTAACGTGACCGACTTCTACCAGAAGCACCAGCAATCCCGGGTAAGAGACGCTCACACCACTCTGCCTCCGCAGCAAAGTCGGTTAGAAAGCACGGCGGGAAGAAAGGTTTCTCTGATAAGAGGACTGTAGAAGGCCGGTGCAAGGGATGAAGCTGGGAGCGTCCCCTAAACTCACTTCTCCAAGAAGGTGTGCTACTAAGTCAGACCATGCTAATGCATGGGGGGCGGGATTCAAAAGTTTTTGCCACCCACTCCCGCTATGGTCAGGGACAAAAGTAGGAAGCCACAGAAACTGACTGGACACAGAAATAGGAATAGTCTGGCAAGCTCCACACCCAAGTTTGCTGAAGTAATAGAAGTTTAATAGCAACAAGGCAAAAAAAAAAAAAAAAAAAATCAGGGTCTTGGAGGAAATGGTTCCCAAATTATATATCAAGTAACTCTAGGGTAATAAGAAACTGCTTGGGGCGCTTGGGTGGCTCAGTTTGTTAGGCGACTGCCTTCGGCTCAGGTCATCATCCTGGAGTCCCGGGATCGAGTCCTGCATCGGGCTCCCTGCTCAGCGGGGAGTCTGCTTCTCCCTCTGACCCTACCCCCTCTTATGTGCTCTCTCTCTCATTCTCTCTCTCTCAAACAAATAAAAAAAAAATCTATAAAAAATAAAAGAAACTGCTTTACTCAAAGTTAATAAGCAGGTTGTAAGCACCTAGTGTGTGCTTTTTAGTACCTGTGAATTAATTCTCCTGGAGCATTTGGATTGTAATTCTTTTTTTTTTTTTAAGACTTTATTTATTTATTTGAGAGAGAGAGAGCACAAGCAGACTCCCTGCTGAGCAGAGCCCAATGTGGGGCTCGATCCCAGGACCTTGGCATCACGACCTGAGCTGAAGGCAGATGCTTAACCGACAGAGCCACCCAGGTGCCCCTGGATTACAATTCTAATGCTGTGAAAAAGTTAGTTAACCCTAGGGGGACAGGTGATTCATGTTCAGGATAATAGTTAATTGTTCAGTTCTCGGGAAAACAATCCTTTATTTAGAACTGCACTGCCCAATATGGAAGCCACAGGTCACATGTAGCTATTGAAAAAGTAGCTGCTTCCACTCAAGATGTGGCGTGTTGGGCGCCTGGGTGGCTCCGTTAGTTAAGCATCTAACTCTTGATCTCTGCTCAAGTCTTGATCTCAGAGTCATGAGTTCAAGCCCCACATTGGGCTCCACGCTGGGTGTGGAACCAATCAATCAACCAGTCAATCAAATGTCATTCTTAAGGGGAGTCACTTTGGCTTTCAGATCATTAGCCTGTGTCCAGGCCTAAAGCACAGCTGAGTCAAAATGCTGCGTGTGAGTCTGGGCAATTGTTTAGTTACCTTTTGAAAATCCGAAAGCTGCTGGACAAAAGAATAAGCTATTGATGAGCATGAAAGACCCGAACAGCGCAAACAAGAAGTGCGCTAGATTGGACATAATGCCACACCAGCATTGAAGAGATCGGGCATCACGAGATGGAAAGGAGGAAGAGAGGGAGGGGAAAAGAAAGGAAGAAAGAATTTCCTGAGAAATAAATTGTATTTTGACTCCATCCATTTTGAGGCCCAAGGGTCCTGAGTCACTCAGTCACCACCCCCAGGCACGGAGATGAGAAAGTGAGGTGCTTCTGGGGTCCCACTAGTGAAAGGAAGCAGGCCGTGTGGGCACCTGAAGTCAGGGCACCAGCCGGGGCGCAGGCAGCTTCCATGTGGTCACCTCAGAGACTATTTCAGGAAATGGAGCCTGTAGGACTTCCTGAGGACAACATGCCCAGACAAGGCCAGGTTATGTGGAATACTACCAGAACGGTCTGCAGACATCACGAACACGGTCCAGCCCAGGGGAGTGCCTTAGCTAGTGAAGACTCCTGTTGGTTCCAAGCACCTCTGCCTGGTTCACCCTCTGTGAAGCTGCTACCACCGTGCACTGTTGGCTTTACCAATGGTATTTGTAGACTCGACTCACTAACGGTACATTTTTCCAGTGGTACTAAAATGTTTGCACTCCTCTAGCCAGAGGCAGCGTACCCCACCGCAAAGCACACCAGCTTTGACTACAGTGTGAACCCAAATCTTGCTCCCTTCCCCAAAGTTGCTGTGTGACCTCAGGGAAACCACACAAACTCTTTGGACCTCCATTCTCTCGTCTGAAGGAAGGAGATCATTCCTCCTGGGATGGGATGCAGGAAAAAACTTGAGTACATCCTCTAATCCAGTGCCTGTGGAGAGAAAGATGCTCAGGGAATGGGAATCGCCATGTGATGGCCCCAGAGATGCTCAACCTCTCTGGACTCAAAGGAGGAAGCTAAGTGCACCAGGACCGGGCTAGGGTCCATCACTGAAGAAAGCCACCCAGCCCACGCTGGGGTCGGACCAATAACCTTGGCGTCACTGCTTCCTGCAGCTGCACATTCGAACAAGAACCATGAAAGGAACCTTGCAGCCAGCATCTAGGCAGGAGAGATGGTGGCACTCTCAAAGGGGGTGAGTGAGGAGAGCTGAAGGAAGGCCAGACGTGGGCAGGAAAAGAAGCCAACAAGGTGTGATGAAGCATCCTCGGTCGGGCACTGTGACAGTTCCTAGGCCTGCAGTGACAAGGGCTGGGGGCAGTCACCAGGATCGGGAGACCTGTAGTTACAGGAGAGAGTCTCCAACAGCCTCTAACCTTCAGGAGAGGAAAGCAGCCCTTATCATGCCACCGCCCAGCAGAGAGAGAACAAGGAGAGTCATTACCCCAGCCGCTCTCTCCTCCCACCCTCTGGTCTCCCACCAGCACCTCCCATTGGCCAAACCCAATGAGAAGCCAGAGAACAAGGGGGCCTAGTTAATGCGATCCATTGAGATCAGCCTCTAGGCCACAGGGCAGGGTGGAAAGTGGATCTGGAGGGGAAGTGGAAAATATCCAGCACGGTAATTACTCTACATGGAAGCAGAATAGAGTTTAAATTAGTTTCAGCAAGAACCTGACAGGCCATCAAAGCCTTTTGAAAATGCCCTTCATTATAATCATGGGTAGAAACGAGATTGACAGGCCCAGCCTGGTGAGAGGACAATAGTCCCAAGAACCAACGTGCACTATTTACGTGCCGATGGAAAACAGTGGAGGGCTCACCCTTTCACAGCGGTCCTGACTGCTCCGATGGCCCGTTGTGAATTTACTAGAGTCTGTTTGCTAACAGTCTGGGTTAGACTTGAGACAGTAGGGAAGCAAGATTTAGACAAGTTCAGAAACTCTCCATGGACCATGGCGGAAGTAACTGTTGTTTAACACAAAGATAGGAGGAGGCCCCTTGGCTTGGCCTTGGAGTTGATGTGTCTACCTGGGCTTCTGAGGGCCAGGTCCTTCCCGACTCCCAAACCTTGGTCCTCTGGGCCATCTTAGCCAACGCTCCTGACAAACAGTTTCTTTTGTTGAGAAGCTGGGTAGCTGGTGCCCAAAATAGACATATTCAAAGAAAGGGACAAAACCAGAAGTCTAGAACTGACTTCAGTTCAGCCTGGGTCTCACCTAACCTCAACTAACTTGCTAACTCACTAATTTATTCTCTTATGCATTTTTCTCATTTAGGTTGGTTGGTTTGTTTTTGCTTTTCCTCAAGTATAAAAATCACAAACACGTAAAAATCTGTTATAATTAAAATTAACATTTAGCTGCCTGTCTTTTTTTTTTTTTTTCTATTAAAATACTCATGCCCAGGCCAGACCCCAGAGATTCTGAATGAATTGATCTAGGATGGAGCCAGGTATCATTTTTTTTTTTTAAGTGTGGCAAAATACACATAAAAGTGCCTATTGTAAATCAGATCCTGTGCTGGAGTTACCTCGGTGCCCAAGATCAACACAGTCACTTCCTTCTGATGGGAGAAGCGTAGTGAGGGTACCCCCAGCGTGGGAGGATCACAACAAGGGACGACGTGCAGCCACAAAGAGATCGGACCCACTCTCAGGACCAGAGAAGGCTTCCCTGAGGAAGAGACATTTAAGAGCAGGAAGGAAAAAGAGGAGTGAGCTCTCTATCCACGTGCCTTTGGGGATCACTGCTCTAAACCACGGAGCAAGAATTAGTAGCATTGTCAATGGCTTTGGGGGTGTGGAGGGGCTCAGACCAGAGAGTTTCCCTGGTTTGGTTCGATGCACCTGAGTAGGGGAAGTGTGCTTGCTGCCCGTGGGCCCTTACAGGGCATCGGAGTCTGATTATCCCCCCATCTCTCAGACACTGGGTGGTTTCTGTAGGCCCCACAGGGTCAAGGCTTGTTACTAGGCTTCTAGAGGCTAGATGAGGAGCTCTGACAGGCTGTGTGCAGCAGAGTGGCCCCATGAGGCCCCAGGACCTGGTGGCCCAATCATAGGCCTGTCGGGGCCGGTGGCCACTCAACCCTCCCTCCCTCCTGACTTAAAGAGGCCTAAAAAATTAAGCCCCACAGGCATCCGTCCCCCCTGTGAGTGCTGCCCAGGAAGGAGTCGTCCTGGGTGCAGGCTCCTTACCCAGGAAGTGGCCTCATCCTTGATTCTGGTTGGGGCACTCAGTTTTTGGTTGCAAGGAAGAACTCCTGGAATTGCTCAAAGTAACGTTCCAAACTCCAAAATGGGCCCAGAGGGAGCAGGCGGAAGAACAGTCAAGATCACAGATTGTACACTCAAATGCCTCAGAGGCCAGGCAGGTTGCAAATGGTCGGAATCCCGCCAAGTGTCATCACAACAGAGTGGTCGCAACGGAGGCAAAATGGAGAGGGCTCTCCCCAGCTGAAGAAGTCATATTCATCCATCCTTTCCTTCCTGCCTGCCAACCAGAGCACATCCTCTGGCCAGATTCAGCTGATTGGCTACGAATTGTTGATCCTTGGCTCAGAGCAGTAGTTCTCAACCACGGTGGTCCCCAGACTAGTAGCATCAGCATCCCTTGGGGACTTGTTAGAAACACACATTCTCTGCCCCACCCCCAGACCCACTGAATCAGAATCTGGGGGAGGGGGAGAGGTGGTGCCCAGCAGCTATGTTTTAAAAGGCCCTTTCTCTAATTCTGGTGCATATTCAAATTGGGAGTCACTAGCGTCAAAAGTCCTGACTGAATGGGCCACTGTCTGGTCCAAAATTATACATTTTTTGTCATTCTTTCATCTGTACGTATATTTATTGAGCACACACTATCTAGCAGGTGCTGGGCTAGGCACGAGGAACACAGGTGCCAACAAGGCCCATGGGGTCCTTGTCCTGAGTCCTATCTTTCATTCTTGCCTCTTACAGGATATTTTTGTCTTGCAAAATACCATGTCCCCTTGAATTAGCTCATTTTGCTCTAACACACTGGGGAAACAGGCAGGATGGCTGTGACTTCTCCCTTTTTATAAATGGAGTCACTTTGGCCATGCACAGTGAAAACTCTGCCCAAAGTCTTGGCACTTGACAGCCCCAGGCTGCCCATCCTGGGGGCCCACACCCACTGCGTGATGGAGATGTGCTTCTGTCAGCAGAGGAGGGTCTCAGCAGGCCTCTGGCTGTCATTACTCTAAGGCACAGGCCTGGCTTTCCTCCATCTCAGCCACGGACAGATGTCCTTGGACACACGCAGCCACCTAATCACCCTCACACCCGGGAGCATCTCTTGAACACGTTTGAAGACTTGATAGAACATTCAGCCAGGCTGTCTGCTTCTTTGAGTGGATTATATTGAGAATTTCCATAGGTAGTAAATCTCTTGGCCAAAATGAATATTAAACAAAACGAAGGGGTGGGGGGGGTGGCAAGAGAAAAGAAAGAAAAACATCTGGCAGGCAGCCTGAGTGCTCTAGGGCTCTTGTCAGTGGCTTCACAAGTCCCCTCCCTTTGAAGCCTGCTCCCTGCTCCCTCCCCTGTCTACACTGCACATGGGGTGTCATGGGGTGACATGGGGTGGGGAGGGAGGGTGAGGCGCAGCTCCACAGAATAATGCTCCAAAACCTAGCTCATTTTGCCCTTGCCAAACACATGCCCTGGAACTCTCTCTGAGAACAAGTCCCTCCCACTTGTGGCTCGGAGCATGAGACGACTCTGGGTTCACTAGCAAATGCAGCCTCTGATTGGTCAGCCTAGCCCCTCTGTGGAGCATCACAAGCCCTGCAAAGGGCGCACGTCAAGGAGGCCGGCCAGTGAGATTTATGGCGCTGCGTGACAGGTTCCCTCCCACAGACCCGAGAAGAGACACAATCTGCTAGAAGTGACTTTTCAAATTATCTGCAGAAAACATTAGTGGATATTTTCCCATCTGCATGCCTCCGGGCCTTATTGAGTCATAAAAAGTAAATGATTTCCCTGAATGCTTTGACAAACCTGATAGTTCCAAGCCATTTTCTAGCTGATTGATTTGCCATTATGCATCAGAGTGTCTCTGAGCATAAAGGCCTCCTGGTGAAGAGAGTGCTGGAGAGCAAATCAGTGGCAGCTCGCGAGAGGCCATGCCAGCGCCCCCGGAGCCCCCGAGAAAAGCAAACAAGGGACAAGGCTTGGTGTGTGGGGAGCAGCTGAGGGGTGGGTTAGGAAGGCTTCCCAGGGGCAGTAGCTTCTAAGACAGGCTGCAAAGGAGGTGCAGACTCTGTGGGGAGGGAGGGGGCGATGAGAAAAAAGTGAAAACAAGCAACTTCCTCTCTGCCTGCTCTAGGCCAAGGTCAGAAGAGCACAGAAAACATGACCCAAGTCTAAAAATAGGAGGCTAACTGCTAAGGACAGTTGATGGGAGCCTTTCAAGACAGGTCTGTAAGGAGAGCGGAGGGGCCTTGAGCCGTGACCTTGGGGCCAGTGGGCAAAATCCAGACTTGGACCGGACTCAGAAGGAAGAACGCATCGATCCTTGCTCAATTTGGGCACATTTTCTGGCAACTGTTTCGTCCTGGAAGAGGTGTGTCCTGGGTCAGCTTCCTGAGCTGCCCTGGATGGAACGGGGACAAGGAGATGGGCCCGGAAGGAAGGGAAAGGCACAGAGGTGGTCCCTGTGTCAGGTCTGAGTTTCAGTTATCCCAGGAAACGGTCACACTTCCGACCTCTCCCCAGGGTGAGGCAGAGGGCCATGTCCTCTGCTGGGGGCTTCCTGAGCACCGGCTGGCCCACCCGCAACCCCCCACCCATGGGGATTTGACAGGAGGCCAGGTGGGGAAACAAAGCAGCAGAGGGGGAGGAGTCATTCCTAATGGCCCCTAATTTACTGAAGGTCTAGGAAGGGTCCCCAGGGTGAGGCCGTGCAGCAGAGGCTGCTCCAAGTTGCTGAGGACCGAGGAGCTGTCATCAGCCAGAAACAGTCTGATCCTCCCTGGGTACCTCCCTATGCTCCGAGCACCAGCGAGGAAAAATAAAACACAACCCACCCACCGAGAAAAAGCAAAAACATTAACCTGGGCAAGATGCAGTGTATAAAAGCAAGAATTAGTAATCCGGGAGTAAAGGAATGATTGGAACAAAGGAGGTTCATCAGGAAGGCTTCTGCAAGGAGGGGACATTGTGAAAACTGGAAAAGCTGTGGACACAGCCTGTGAACAGTGGGAGGGGGACAATCAAAACAGAAGCACAAAACAAGCCAACTGACCAAAAGAGGAAGAGATGAGCCAAGGCCCTGAGGTTCACAGTCCATCTGGGACTCTGCCGGGCGCACACTCACTGTCTGGAAGTTAAATAATAGACCAGCCAGGGCGGGAGCCTCAGGTGAGACCATCATTAAGCCCAATTATAGAGAGAGAAACATACAGACCTAAGGCCTGGGGCCTTTTCTCTGGACAAACGAGGGATCTAGGGAAATAAAACTGCCCTGTGGCATCTGTGTTCCCAATTCTCCCACAGAAACGTTTGCCTTCCTAAGACACACATCCCGTTGTGTTTACTCCTCTGCTCAGAGGCCAGGAGCTGCACACAGGATGACATCCAAACTCCCAGTGCTGCCTGATGGGTTCCCACCTTCCCATCTCCCCAGCTCATACCAAGAAAATGTTTTCAATCCAGAACAAACACCTTCCCCAAATACTCCAGCCACACTCGTGAGTAGGGAATGTTGCCCAGCATGTGCTCTGCTCTCTCCGCCCCCAGGCCTTTGCTGGCGTTCAGTGCCTCCGTCCGACCTCACCAACCCTCAGGGCCAACCGAAGGCCCTCCCGTCCTTTAAGGACCATCGAGAGGCCTTCCCCATGTCCTAGTAAACCCGTCTCTCTCCCCCTGTGCACCTCCACTGTAGCTGGCACATCCAGCTGGTACTGGAACTGTTTCTGAACAAGGTTCTCCCATGTCAGATGATGGGCTCCCAGCAGGTCACGGAGACCTTTTGCCCCACGTTCCCCACACCACCCAGCTCAAGGCTTTGACATATAACTGCCCCATAAATGTTCACAGCATGGGATTGAGCCTGAAGCGTGGAGCCCTCCCAGGGCATCCTCCATTCAGTAGTAAAGAATTCCAGAACAGCCGCCCAGCCTCTACGCTGAATCCCCTCTTGTTCTGTTCTCTGATCCCCAAGGACAGGCCTTGCCCTGGTGTCTTGTTACTACCCTCCACCCCGTGATTTCTTTATTTTTCGTGGGTGGTTCTTTCCTCTATTCTTTTTTCTCCCTCCGCCCCATGATTTAGATCATGAATATTTTATAGATGAACTTAAAAGTCTCCTTTCCATATTTAGGCACAGAATGAGCTGATGAACTCAGGCTTGTACCTGGTGCTGCTGCTTCACCTCTACGAGCAGAGGTTTGCAGAACTCATGAGGCTCAACTACAACCGAGTTGCAAGGGAGAGGGTGAGTCTGGCTCTGACCCGCCCCTTCTGGCCGCACTTCCCCAAACCTTGCAGCGTTGGCGATTACATGTGCAATCTGTTGAGGTCTTCGTGGTCACGTGGGGAGGCTATGGTGCAGTCATCGCCAGGACGCAGATATGGCACGGATTCTGTGTAAGTGTACGCACAGTGGCCTTCGGGCCGAAAAGTAAGCGATCATTGCATAATTGCTTACTATTAAACAGGAGTAGTAATTAAGTGGTCATTAATGGTCATAGAAGCAAGTGGGTCTCTAGGGATATTTGCCGCCCCAAAAAAGAGGTCAGCAAGGCTGCTGGGGCTGGGTGTGCATTATGTCTGGGCAATGCCCACTGCCCAAGCATGGAGGGTCCATGAAAACCAGGAGACCTTCCCCCAAGGAGAACTGTTTCTTTAGCTTTGGTTCCCAGAGTGTGTTACTCCAGCGTCTCTGGGTGTGTGAATGCCAAGAAATAAAGGTGCTGTCCCATTTGGCCATTAGAGAAGTGACAGTGTATTTGCCAGGGATCATCATCTGTGGCTGCCCTTCCTTTAATATGAGAACCAGGAGCCTTCCAGGAGGCCAGGTAGTTTGGAGAGAGGAGCCTGGCCTTAGCAAAGTCCCCAGAATGTCCATTTGGCCACGGTCAAGTCAGAATGCAGAGCTCCCAAGAGCCTTCCCTCTAGGCTAAATGCCTGGCTGTGGCCAGGCCAGGAAAGAGCACTCCCTTAAGGCCATGCCAGGGACTGATCTGCTTTTAGCGTTTAACACCCCTCGAGGCTTGAAACTTGACCTCTGCTCGCATTAGAAGGTCATGACTGGCCAGCCACAAGGCAGTTTTAGTGACCCTCTGCCACCCTATCCCATGTCCCTCCCTTTCTCTTGACCTTCTCTTCTCTGTCCCCTGCTTCCCATCTCTCTCCATGTCTCTCTCCTCTTCTTCTTCAAGTGGGTAAGGGGCACCAGTCCCTGCCCGGAGGCTGGAATCCAGCGATTCCAAGGGTTCCTGACCCTGTTGCAGACCTCACAATGACACCAGGCTGTTGCCATCCATTTGGAGCCATCCCTGTGAAAACTGCTGGGTTCCAACCGTTAGTCCTGAGAATTCTAGATTTGTCCCTTTTTTTTTTCTTTTTTCCCGGCGTAAATTCTCCCTTTAGACTCCCAAGCTCTTAATGAAGAAAACGGACTGGGCCTTGGCCAAGAGATCTCCTCAGGAATCTCACCCTCTTTCTGACCCAGGCCTGTCCTTCCTTTAACTCTTCCATCGTTTTAATGGTGACATAAATTCCTCAGAGAAATACATTAAAAAAAAAAAAAAGGGGAAAAATGTACAGGAAGCAGGAAATGATCCTTTGTTAACATTTCCATAACCTCATTTTCATGATTCCCCATCTTTTTTAATGAACTTTTTACTGCACATTGAACTTCAAAGCACCCAGGGTTTGATATAGGTTACAGATGGCCATGACGTCAGCAAGCTAATGTAAGCAATGCTAGCCTCCAGGACACACAGCACTGCACAGCAAACAGCAAACAGCACAGCCCAATGGGTGAGAACCGAGGCCCTGACGCATGGAGTCTAAAGAAGTTTCTGGTAAAACTATCCTAGAGAAGGAGTCAGTGACACCAGGAGCAATCTGGGAACCAAGGTGGGAGGAAGCAGGAAGGACAGGGCAGCACTCCTAAAGCTTACATTTAATTTGAGAAACCCTGAAATAGACCTCACCCACTAAAACCACCAAGCAATGACCAGTACAAATAGCCAGTGAAGAGGGACCCAAATGGCTTTTGTCAAATTCACAGTCTTCTGGATTTGAGTCTCGGTATCTTCTTGGAGAAGACGCTCAGAATCTGAGGGTAACATTTAGCAAAAAAGAGGCACCATGTTGGGGGGGGATGAACCCCTTCTCTCTCCTTTACCTATCAGAACTGGAGAACCCATTCACGTTGGGCTCCTTGGTTGTGTCTCATTAGGACACCCAGTGATGAATGTTTGCCCATGGTGATGATCATTCATTCACTCATTCATTCATGCCCTGGCCTGTACCAGGTGCTGAGATGGGGATCAGGGAGAGTGGCTACCGGACATGCTGCCATGTTGTCCCATTCTTTGAGGAACTTCTGATCAAGTTGGAAGATGAGACTCACATATTTATAAAGACAGGAAATAACTGGAAAGTAGCCCTTGGTCAAGAGAGCCAGTGGACCCAGTGAATTTCCAGAGGCTGTGTATTGACAACACAAGATCTTCCCTGGCTGGGACTTCCAGGGGTGTCCAGTGATCCCATAAACAAACAATTTGTCTCCTTAGTGAGGTGGTGAGTGCCCTGAAGGCAAAGCCGGGCCTTCTACACCATGCTGTTTCCCCAATGAAATGTACCTGTTCCCCGAATTCCTCTCCCTGCCTGCCCATGGCAGCTCCCCTGTACCTCTTAAGGGCCGACTTCAGTAAACTAGGTAAAACGCTAGAAAGAATCTCTGTCCGTGAGCTAAAAGGCAAAGGGCAGTGGGACCCCAGGCCTCCCAGGGATCATGACAGTGCCCGTGACCTCCCGGAGCGAGCACTGCCTTGCTCTCCTGCCCCAGGTATGCTGGAGTAACATTTCATCTGTCGGGAAACTTCCACCTGTATAACACTCGGGGGAGGGTCACGGGGGGGGGGCAGTGGCTGGCTGGGGGGACAGGCAGGGTTCTGAAGGAGCTCTGAAACTCCACTGGCCCATCTGTGGGTGAGACTTTCTCTGGGCCCTTCCATTCACACCGTTTCTACAAACCCCAAAACTCTTGCCTCAAAGAACCAAAGCTACCCAAAATATTGGAGGCCCAGGCTTGGCCCTCATTTGGGAAAACTTCCCTACTCACCCAGATGGCGTTTCCTCGAGGACTGAGAGCTGGCTTACATACAGAGGCGGTCACCTGGCACGGAGTCTGGAGTCTCGAGTCTCGAGGCGGGATGAGGCCAGCTTAGCAGCCTGGAGGGGTTGGGGGCCGTGGCTGGCACAGTCCTGATGTAGAATTGACTTAGAAGAAAGTCCATCCTTCTCCTGCCCTCCCCACCCGGCCTGCGGGTGACGGGGACCCAGGAGCCACAGCTGCCCCCACACTGGCCAGCAGTTGCCCCAGTAACAGTGTCCAGCACCCCTTGTTTTGCCTTCCAGCCTGTCACAAAGCCCCTCTTCTCCCTCTCGGGGGGCGGAGCACCAGCCCTCTGCACAGGAGCCCACATCCTTGCAGCCTGGCACAATGGGCTCCCACGGAGTACACAGTGTTTCTCATTGTGGCATAAAATGCCATAAAGTCACAACAAAGACGGAGCCCAGAGCCTTGATGGGCCTGCAGCTTCCTGCCAGGCAGAGAACACAACTGATTGTTTAAAAGCCAGGGGTGAGGCAAGTGGCCAATTAGCACGGCCTTCACCCCCACGGCTTGTAAATGTGATTCTCGAACCCTCAGAATGGGCTTCTGCTGTTCACATCAATTGCCGAAAGGAAGCAAGTCTGCTCCCACGGCCAAATTTAGAAGCCCTGAACCGCCAACGAAGGTGACCTGGGTTCTCTCTGCCCTGCCTTCAGCACACGAGGCTAAGCCCCCGCAGGTGCTGAATATCAACACTGCCCTTAGCACCTCTGCCCCTTTAAGGTGATGTGAGGGATTCCCAGAACATTCCCAAGAGCGGGGAATTATACATCTGTTCACAATTGCTTTGGAAAAACAATTCATTTTTCTTTGTCTTCTTTCTCATAGTTGTCAAGAAATTACCCACAATCCAGACCGGAAGAAAATGAAAGTAGGTTTGGGGGTCAGTCCTGCCATTTTGAGGGTATTTGCTAATTTACTGTTTTTCTGTGACTGGATGGAACTTCATACTGTGGAAGGAAGTAATGACCACCATCCAGAGGCATAAATAACCCCACAAAGCTTGGGAAAGTCTAGCGGCAGCCGTCAGGGAGTTGAGTCCCAAGTCCACTAGATGCAGAGCAGATAAGGATTTTAATTCATCCTGAAAGCAAGGACAAGGGCCAACTAAAGGGAAGATGGTATCGTCAGGCGGGCACAGGATGACTTGCTGCAGGTTTATTTCCCCTTTTCCTTTGCTGGGATTTTTCCAGCATCCAGTATTTGGGGAGCCTCTTGGGTTATCTTCTAAACCCTGGAAGGGTGCTGGTTAGCCCCTACAGGAAGGGACCCCATTCATTCAGGAGCCAGTGGCTGCAATGGATCGTCTCACCACGCGGCCAGGTCAGGTGGGGCCGCAGGATTCACAGGTTGAGCAAGGAAAACAGGTCTCCTGAGAAAGGTCCCCCAAAGGAGGGCAGGACAGCTGTCTTCCAACAGGCTCGTTATCCCATAGAAAACCCAACTGAAGAAAATGTGCTTAATTAAAGCAGGAGGGCTTGCAAGCAGACTCAGGAGGAGCTTCTCCCTCAGCAGGGAGAATAAACATCACAGTGGACTGAGGTGGGTGTGACAATTCCAATTCCAGAAGTTCTTCAGGGGAGAAATCTTACAACTGCCTGCCCTAAGGCAGGTTTAAAGTGAAGAGTGATCCCCACACTGGCTTTGCCATCAGAATCACCTGGGAAATTTACCGAAAGTGCAGATTCCGAGGCCCCTCCTGGAGATTCGAATTCAGACCCTGGGGGGGGGGGGGGGCCCTGGTCATCCCGGCGGAACCCCCAACAGGCCCGCCCGGAGAAGCTGCACCAGCTCAAAGCTCCACAGGGTGGGGCCCAGATTACGACCCTCGAGAAGCCAATTGATTATTCAGGGCACGCAGTGCTGAGAACCCGGGCTGACCGTTCTCAGAGACGCGGGGAGGGGACGCTTCCCTCGGTTCACAAAAGGAGCCCGGAGTGCCAGCCCTGGGCGCGACCACGGGGTCCATCCCCGCCGGGTGACGGTCCCGGGGCCCCTCGGGGACCCCGCCGCCAGGCCCTGTCGCCTGGGCGCACCCGGGGCTGCTGCTCCCCCTCCGGCAGCCGGGAAGGGAGCGAGCGGGAAGGGAGCGGGGAGATCTAGAAAAGACCTTTGTGTCTCGGGGAAAAGCGCCTCTGCGCCTCGCTCGCAGGTCCCAGTGGCGGCCTCCCGCGGCAGCCCCTGCGCCGAAAGGGCGCGGCCGCGAGCCGACCTCGGGGAGCAGCTGGGGGGCCCCCGCGGCTCGGGGCAGGGTCTCG